TGAAAATATAAGTATAAAGCCTTGAAGCTGAGTCCACCAAACCAAGATCAGCTGCTTCTAAATCAAGATACATTTATATTTTAGGATAGATTAATGCCTAATGCTGGTTTAGCTATCCTAAATGATGCTAGCAGGACTCCATGTTCTCTAATTTTCCTGTGCCATCCTCAATGACAGATTCTTTGACCTATTTTAAGGCCCTGAGTCACACATGAAACCATGTCGTTCTCATGATGATGCTTGTCACCTCTTGTATCTGGAAGCTTTGTTAGCTTAGCACCCTCCTGAGGGAAAAAGTGACCAGAGAACATCACATTTATATTCCCAGAGGATCCACACTATATGCAGACTGTGGAGATGAAGAGGTTTGTTCCGTAATGTTTTCTGTGACTGTGATCATAGTTTTGCTCTTGACTTTTACCAAAAGTGACAGCTCTCTAGTCTTATTTCAAGTAAAAGCAAAGACCAATTTAAGAATCTGGTCATGGCAGGTCACTGTTAAGTGCGAGTGCTTGGCCAGACCAATGGTAATGCATTCTAATTGGCTAAAGCAACTCTCCAGAACTTTGGGGTGCAAAGGTCTTCTGGTCTTTATCAAGCCAGATTTGTTATGTAAGTTTTATTTTGACAACTTCAGCAGATAAGTGAGAATATTAATCTCATACTCCCTCGCTGTCGCTGGCAGAGGTCGAGGTATGAGCCTGTCCGGCCTCTGAAATTCACGAGGACAGAGTTCGGTAATGCTGTTGTGATCGAGCCATGAGGGAGGTTTGAACGTTGTCCAAGGCATAGTGCTACAGCATCGTCTGCGTTGTAACATGAACAGTAGCAGCAGCCAAAATCCTGAAGTGTGCTGGTGAAGATGGGTTGCCAAAGTTAAGTGGTATAACCCAACAAGGTCAGTCCTTAATGACCATTTACTAGTTTGTTTATGTTTTATTGAATAAAGCAAATTGTTTTCTGACTTTGATTCATTGATTGCCTGGTTTACGTAGGGAGCTCAATGCTAGGTACATATATCTCTACAGTAAGTGTTAAAATATGTTATGTATGACATTAAAATGTACAACAACTAATTAAAAATAACATTACCACAAGGCCTCTACATCCAGTTGTTCTACAGGCTTTTCTCTACACTGCATGCCTCAAAATAGTTCTGTAGATAAAGTGGAGAGATCATTTTCTGCTGTGGTAGTAGCCAGTGATGGCTAAATTAAATTTAAGTTAACACAGTTAGGAAGATGAGAAAGATGTGACCTTGGGAGAAGAAAATATGAGAGAAAGAATAGAAGTGAAAATAAAATTGTGGGACATTTTTTTTGCTAAGATTACTGAATTAGTTGGGAAAGCCAAATAAGCAGTAGGTTTTCTGTTTTTAATCAGGATTGCAACATGGCTTTAGGGATGGTATGTGGGTCTGTTGATTGGTTGGTCCACACTGAAAAATCTCAACAACCACTGGATTGATTGCTATGACACTTTATACAGATGTTCAAAATAGGATGAGGATGAATCCTGATAACTTTGACTTTACTCTAGCGCCACCTTGAGGTTAACATTTATGGTTTGAGTGAAATATCATAATCATCATAATTACATTGGAAGGATTGGCACGAAATTTGGTTCAGACATTCATGTTTCTGTCAGGGTGAACTGTAAAAACTTTGGTAATCTCTTAACTTTTCTAGTGCCATCATCGGGTCATTGCTTTGTCCAATGCTTTGGTTTATGATCCAATAGCTGCAAAATTAATTATCAGCCCCAAGCAGTTCTATTTGTGTTAGGTGCTAATCTAAGATGGTGAACTTGGTAAACATTAAATCTGCTAAACATCAGCATTTTAGCATTGTCACTGTTAGCATTGTCACTGTTAGCATATTAGCATGCTGACATTGCCATCACAGACCCACTAGTGTGACTGTAAATTGTGTCTTGTTAGTTTACATGTAAATATTCCCATGGTCCTGTATACTAGTCAAACTGTGGTCCTGTCACACATGGACACCAGATGGGATGGTTGCTATCTGTCTGGGTACTCTGATGGTACAGTTATATACCCCTGGATGCACATTCAGTGTAACTGAGAGCAGAAACAAGGTTGATGAGAGCCGTGAGAGTGAAACTGTTAGTGAAGTTCCAGCCTGTAAAACCGATGAGCTAAAAAACACTAAAGTGCATTGTAGAGCTGTGAGGAAACAGTTGGGTGATAATTCTAATTATATAATTACTTTCACATTATAATAATTATACCGTGTAACGTATTGATAATAATAAAATATTGATTAGTGTAGCTCTAAAATGTGATTTTTGATAGTATTTGCTTACATTCATTTGCAATGCCATTGTTATAACTGAATTTGCCTCGAGCATACATATGGTGTGTAATTATTTATTGGTTCTAAACATTGACTGAGCATCAAATTATTGTCAGTGTGTCCATCCCAAAAACAGCACACTGTGTATAAAGACTTATGAGTGTAGTGTGCTGATCTTTAGTATGCTTCTACCACCATTAAGTTGAGTGTAATGTGCCTCTCTGGTGGTTCCTGCTGTCCCTGCAGTGAAGCCTGGGCACAGCACAGTGTTTTGGGGATAGAGTGGGACAGGTGCCTGCGCTGGATGGTACATCTTTGAGACAGAAATAGTCCCACAATGAGTCAGAGGGTGAAAAGAAGGAGGAATAATTCCACTCCTATTTTCAGGAAGTGTAGCACTCTTGTCCTTGCTGTGATTGTCATGAGGCTGGTTTGCAACTCTGCCGCACTATTGCTCACATTCCCTGCAACAGTGTTGGGCTGTGTGTGACTCAGTATCTCTATAAAGACCAGGAACAATAAATGCGTCAGCACTAGTACCGATGACATGCACCCTGCCTACCGTGTAATCCGAGCATAATAGGCGCAATGAATGATCGGTTATTCTTCTTTTTATGCATCAGTGCCTAAAACAAACGTGCACAGGAACACAAACATGCAGCCAGCACTGATTTTGCATTTCTGGCTCATTAAAAAACAATACAATATATAAATACAAAAGCACAAAAATGTATTTGATTTGTTTCTTTTCCCTGAATCAATTCAATATAATGAAACAAAAATGATGATACTCAAAGGTGATATTTTCTTATTCCCCTAATGCTCACAGACACTCTTTCTCTCTTGCTAATAAACCTGTAACACCTTTTTAGCTCATAATTGTGTATGCTATCTTTGTCAAATCTCAAACTTCCTGAGACACACTCACACAAATCTAAATAGGATGTATGGAGGGGGAATGTTGCCACTTGAGCTCCGTCACTACTTCAATTTTCTTTCCCACTTACCTCAACTTTTTATTTTTTTAAAAGGTATTTTTTGGGGCTTTTATTGCCTTTATCTTACCACAACTTTTAATAGCACTTGATTATCTTTGACTAACAGTCCAACTCTTTGGCTACTGAACTCTAGTCCTACATGCCCTCTGCTGTGCTCTATCATGCCTGTTTTAGCTGGGACATCCCCATGACATGGACCCTGCTGACTGAAATGACAGATTAGCAGCTCAGCAGACAGAGCGGAGTGGGAGTGATGAAGCTTTGCTGAGACATTTAATGCAGCACTGACTTTAGTCGTCCACATGGAGTGTATTTGTACTTGTGTATAACTTTATGATGATCTCGTTACAAGTCATTTCAAGTCATTGTATGCGTACATGATGTAGATGTGTGTGCATTCCAGAGAGTCTTAAAGAGATGCGTATCACTGCGTGGCACTGGTGACCACAGTATCTGGTGACTTTGTCTGACTGACGCCTGACACCTGACTACGGCAATTTGCAGAGTCCAAAATGAACCAGTGCAAGGACAGACAAGGGTATTCTCTGCCTCAGCTTTAACAAAGCATGAAGTCACTTAACAGTCTGTAAAACCTGTAAAAACAAGCAGAGCAACAACTGGGATGCATAAACCTTTATAGTTTAATTATGTATCACTAATGTCAAAGCTGTAATATCCGACCTGTCATTTAAAAAACCTATTCATTCATTTGAGGTGGTTTTAAAAGTACGCCTGCAAAACATCAAATGCAAAAACCCTAATTTTAGCACTGAGTGTTAGAGTTACACACATGCGTGCAACTGCTGTGAAAAAGACAGTCAAACCGAAAGAGATCCAGAGGGAAAACATATAATTACAGCCAGCTTTTGCTTTGGCTGCAGCAGCGAGTGTGACTCTTCGTAGTGAGTCCAAGTCACTCTGTTACTGCTGTCACTGTGTTTCTCTCCGGGACAGAGAGAGTAAGCAGCACACAGCAAAGTTTCCAGCAGCTGGTGTCACACCTCAGACTTTTTCTGTTGTACAGCCACAAAGGCTCCACACTGCACCACAACAACATACGACACAATTTTCGTGCCCAGTCAGCTGAGTTTAAGTATGCTGTTGAGTGTGTAGACGTGTGTCAAAACTTGGAACCTATTTCAACCCAGATCTTGCTACGTTAGGCCATACAATACAGAAAAGAGGCAATGGAGGCTCTGTGTAACACTGAAAGACAACCTCAAACTGGCAGGAAGCAAAATGATCAGTTCATTGGTAATAAATGCAACTAATTTAGTTGCATATTTATAGTCATTAAATCAAATAACTCATAAAAAGACACGGATTTTTTAACCTTCCCTTCATTAATGACGTTAAAATCATCGTCCGCAGTCAACTCTTAGCAAGACATACAAAGCTCTCAAGTGTTCAAAGACACAGACCAAATACATAATGTAGCTTTCTGGCAGCAGTGGATCAGCATTTTCATTTCACAAGCTCTCCTGCTTAAATAACTCAATCCAATAGCACTAAAACGGTTTCACCCAAATCCCATTGCCCTCCACCATACCTGCAGCAGACAGAGACAGCAGAGACAGCAAGCAGCACACAGACAGCAGAGACTTCATTTTGGCTGCCAGGGGCCTTCCCCTCATCTCTCCCAGCTATATATACTGCTCTGGCTGAAGGTTAGAGGGCATGCCAGTGGAGGTGGCACCCAGCAACTGCAGCCAAATCAGCCATTGTGTGTCAGAGCAGCTGCCTGTACCAATCAGGAATGTTGAGAGCAGAAAGAAGCAGTAAGAAACCATAACGTAGTAGTCCTGTAATCTTGTCACTAATTATGTGCAAGTTGTTGATATCAAGAGATGTTAATGATAACATTTTAATTATCAATACCATTCAGTAGTGCTCAGAAGATAAAGAGGTAATTCTTTTGTAAAACATGAAGCCTGTGTGCCACCGTTTTTATCTGAAATCTGAACAACGGGCTGCAAATCCAACGTCCCCTCACTGCTGCTGCTGCCAAATGAGGAGTCGTTCAATGTCACCATCTGGTGGACAAAGGGGTTCATATTATGCATCACTGAATTAAACTAGGAGGCAGAGGGGTGTAATAAAAAAAGTACAAATTTTATTTTTTTTTCATCTTTACAAAGGCCTGTTTACCCAAGTTTTTATAAACAAAATATAACAGCTTCTCATCGACCTGGACTGATGGGAAAAAAAAAAAAAAAAAAATATCACAAAAATATAAAAAATGCGTGTCACCAAAAATGGAAAACAGGACAAGAAAGACAGATGAAAAGACAGAAGAGCAGAACATAATAAACTGCTGTTGTGTCACAGCAAAAGAGTTTACAAAAAATAAATGGCTAAAAAAAAATATATCTTCCTCATCATTGATTCAGGCAGTACAGAACAGCAAGTGCTTCATATCAAATATCTCAAATTCCACCAAAAAGACAGCAGTGCTGCAACACAATGTACAGAAACGTTTGGGGAAAAGTGTTTAGCTGGCCAAAAACACACATTAGCCTAAATTCAGTTCTTACCATTGGTCAGCAAAACACCAAACCCCCAAAGTTTCACAAACAAAATGAGAATTTCCCCCAGTTTGGCATGAAAAATACTTGTCTAACCAGATACAAAGTTGATGTCAGTGAGTGAATAGTGTCCACGCATCTCACACAAGACAGTTTCACACTGAACACATCAGTCGTGTGTTAATGGAAAAGAAAGGGAAACCCGCAATTAAAGGAAACAAAATGTCAAAACAAAAGCCCGCTTTAGAGAGAGAGAGAGAGAGAGAAAACAGCTATTAGTAACATGCATTCAATTGGCAACAGAACATATAAAAGATCAAAAGACAGATACAAATCCAAATAAAAAGGAATGTTTACAGCATCAAGTCAGCATATCAAATCGAGTATGACAGGAGGGAGGCTCGAAGCAGGGATTTCCAGTCAAATTCCCGAGAGAATATATAAGCAATGAAACATGAGGTGGACAGACTTGGTGCATTTTAGAGAGAGATGGAGATTTTGGGGAGCGATCTGCAATTCAGTTCAGTGCTTTTCATTAGAGTTCTGGACTTTTTGTGGCATCTGATGCACCGAAAATGTACATCGATCTGCAAGTACGTGCTTAGTATCACAATAAAGCTGCTGTTTCCCAGCTAGAGCTTTTCTTTCCTCACACTTATGCTTTTTGTGTTGGAGTTCAGTAAGATGTGGCCTGCCTGTGTTTTATAGGTTTTCTATATGTATATATGTTGTCATTTGTAATCAGACACAACTCCTCCCTGCTCCTCTACTCTCTAAGCACTTTCAGATGGGGAAATGACACATATCATTTTAGCAAAAATATTCAGACACGTGTAATAAACGTGATCAAGTGTGAAGTTACACAAAGGGTTTTGGGCCTGAGCGCACTGCTGGTCAGCAGAGCCCCAGGTTGACAAAGAGCACCTTGCAAGTAGAGACTACATTCTTTGTTTCAAACATATACTGTAGGTGTAATGTACACACCTATCAACGGTGCATAGATAACTGCCCCTCATGTATAAATGACACCAACAAATGTACTGAAGATGGAATTGCATAAATACCAACTCTAGTGCATAGTCACTGAAATCAACAATCCAAGACCAGAAGATAGACTGGAAGTCTGAAGGAAAACCGGAAGCCTTCATGTACACGGAGCCTGTGAATCATGGAAATCTGTTTCAGATTTACACATCAGCCAAAAAGGACTACATTTGATCCAGACAAATTGTGTTAGATTGAAACTGAAAATGTGTGTTCCAGCAACCAATCAACATGTGCTTCTATTTTTAAAAACCTGGTTTTTTTTAGGTTAACGGTGCACAACCACTGCCACCAGTAGATATATGTAAGGGCCCAATTTAAAATTTTAATCAGACATTTTGTAAAATTCATCTCCAGGCCTCCGGTTCCCTGTTATAACCTGACAAACATCCAATTTTAAGTTGTTAATCTCAATATAACAAAATCTTTTACCTTCAACATTCAGTAACCCTGACAGAAAAAAAAAAGTGAAAACAAACATGAGAAACATTAAAACCAAAAGACGATCAATGTAAATTGTTCAACAGCTTATTTTTAAGGGCTTATTTAGATATCAAAAACACAACCTTTTTTTCAAGTAAATCAGACATGATTTCATTCAACATCTATCCTCAAATTAGCTTTGCAATTAAGTTTAAATTTTTTCCCAAACTTGTTAAATTTTGGAAATGCCTTCTGTTGTAGTTTAAGTTGGGTTTTGTGGCACTAGAATATCACCTGGACAACCAGGAAACAAAAAGAAAAAAAACCAAACAAATTAAGACAGGGGAAGAAATAACTGCAACTCCATCCCTCTTTTGAGAATCAGGAGCTGCTTGCTTATTGTGTTGTTACATTCAACTCTCCATTGTACTGACTCCATCAATTTGTAGCACAAATAACACTGTCAGCGTGCCAGAGACGACGGGTAACTGTGATACTGCGACTGTTACGTAGCACACATAAACACACAAGAAGGACGGACTGACGCTGATAGCTTTTTACACGAGGAGGCCCTCAAGTTTTCAAGTAGCCACAGACCGGCTCTGACATTGGGGGGGAGGGGTAGAAATCCCACAGGGCCTCCTCTGCACGCTGACCATCCTATGTTTTCAATCTTCAGAGATTTTACAGTACGAGACTGAGACAGAGCTTAACCACTGGATTTAAGAGTTTGGATAATGCCAAAGACAGATTTCTTTTTTCTTTTTCTTTTTTTTTTTTTTTAAAAGTAGTCAAGCGCCTGGAGGGAATCTTACAGTGAGTAGGTATTTTAAGTGTTTGTGTGTTTTGTGTGTGAGTTCATGGGGTTGGATCAGTTCATTGAGCAGTCCTCCCCCTCTGTGTCGGTGTCTGTGTCCGAGCAGGCGGTGTCCATGGCGACGTGGGCAGGACTGACGATGACCGCTCGCCTCTGCTCCTCTTCGGCACTCGCTCTCCTCTCCTGAGTGCGTTCGATGTGTTGGATGGCCTGAAAGCAGAGGGTGGAAAACACTGAAGGCTGCAGCAAATATTCAGTTCGCTCCGAGACAACTGTTCTCACTATGAAATGAGGACCAGTGTTTATTTTGGCGGCTGTATTAGTCGACAAAAAGTCGTTAAGTTTTAAGTCTAAATGTTTTCTCTCTTTAAACTAATTCAATTTGGCTAATTAGGTATCGGAAATTGGAATAAAGACGACAGTAAAAAAGGATCTTCAGTACAAAGTTAAACTAACTCTTACCTGCACAATAGTGTCCAGGTTCTGTCTGGACGTGGACACAGTGCTGGTGTGGGCTGACGGGCTCATGGTCACCACGGTGACGTGATGATGGGGTTGCTGGGTTAGTGTTGGGGCTGGGACGATGACCGTGGGGTGGTGGGTAGGGGCTGGGGGAGTGGGAGGAGCCAGCACCTGCAGGACAGACAAAACATGAACAAAATGAAAATGTGTTCATTAAACCTGAGTGTGTGTTCACATAGGACTGTGATTTAAATCGCCAGAGTACTTCAGACGCCATTTCAACAAACTGCAGAGTCTTAAGGTTTTGGAAATTACAACACAGTTGCCTACTACCTTTTCAGTGAGAGTGTGTGTGTGTGTGTGTTTCTGACCTGCGGACTGTGTGTTTGCCTGTCAGCGGCGTGGATCTGCTGCAGCCGTAACAGCGTCTGGCTCTGGAGGATTGCCTGCTCCTCTTCCACCTGCTGGGTGATCACCTTGAGGCGCTCGGGGTGCAGCTGGGTGTCCAGAGATCGCACCTGCACACAGACACAGAGTACATGTGTAAGAGCAGAGCGAAACATATCCAAGATAACCTAATAACTGTGTAAATATACAATTATTACAAGAATAATTCCTAGAGAAATAATAACAAAAAGTATGACGTATTAAAACTCATGAAACCAAACTTTGGAAACTTTGGAAACCCAAAAAATGATGCAACTCCCCTTCTGTTTACGTTCCTCTTTCACTACCTGTTAAAGTTTCTGTTTGTCTTNNAGGGAAATGGACACACGTCATGAAGAACCTCTGCTCCCCCTGTTGTCTCACCTGCTCCTCCATCTGCATACGAGCTGAGCGCTCCTTGTCCAGTTGCTGCCGCAGCTCTAACATTTCCCTCCTCAGCTCCTCCACCTTCTCCTCCTCCAGGGTGTCTGGAGACCCAATCCCTTCATCCTTCTCCTCTGCTCGCCTCCTCTTGGGTGATGAGCCGCTAAACTCCTGGAGTGACATGGAGGCCATGAACGGTTAAATGTCAAACAGACAACATATATATTTACATATTTAAACGTTGTATGTGGGTGGGGGTGCTAGAAAACCCAACCAGTTGGTTTGCACACAACTGGAGGAGTTTCCGCTCTATTTAACAGCAGCACATTCTGCTTGTGCTGAGTCAAACAAATGGCTGGTGTGGCAAGAAAAATAAAACGCCAGGTGAACCAACAGCATGGAAAACAAACGAGACTGGTAAACACACATTTTTCACATGGCTTGGAACGGCCGCATAGACTGAGAAAGTACTGTACAAGCTGTGCAAATAGGAAATTAAAGTTTGGCTGTAATGATGCTTCCATAGGTCGTATTAGATAAACTGTCCTATTTGATATATGTGCTTCTGATAGACCTTAAGAACTCAACCAGCATCTAACACACTCCCCGGTGGATCACCAGCTGACAGAGATATAACATCACACCTCCCACAGGCACCATATTTAAACCTTAGCCTACGTAACACACCACACACCGGCGTGGCCTAGTGAAGCACAACCTGTAGAAGAGCGACAATGCCGAGGCAAACTGTGAACAATACGTACATCACTGTTTGACAGTAATCCATTTGAATGAATACATTTACCAGACAATTATGGTTCTAAGGGCAACATGAAGTTAAGTGTGATGAAGTTTCAAATCTCTACAGGTCATTTTTATGCTCTACTTAAACGAGGGAAACCCTATGGCGGCCTGATCGATACGACACCGTACAGTTTGGTATTGTGGACTTATAGGGAGTAGTAAACCAGAGCTGTATTAAATAAGACACAATGATGGTGAAAAATGGCCCATGCTGTTACCTGGATGAAGCGTTTGAGCTGGTTGTTCTGTGCCAGGAGCTGTGTCTTTTCCTGCTCCAAGGCAAAGATGTAGTCCGCCGTCTGCTGCAAGATGGCCGCCTGGCAGGGACGAAGCAAAGCGGAGTATGAGACGAGTGCATCGACCAATCACATTACATTCTCCCAAAAACTGCTGCTGAAGCAGAAAGGAAACTCCACATCAAGAACAAGGTGTCAAACGTTTTCAGCTTTCTGCTGTACAACTCAACAGTTGAGCCAAATGATTTAAAGTTTTGCCATAAGCTGTCGTGATCTACGCGCGTTTTCTGCACCTTGCTGAGTTTCTCTCCGTCTGTGTGGGGCAGGAGTGTTTTGAGGGACTGGAAGCCTGCGTTGATGCTCTGCATGCGCCGGCGCTCGTTGCTGTTGGCGATCTCACGGCGGATTCGTCTCTCCTGGTCCTGGGCCGTCTCCGGACTGAGGGGGATGTTGGCCAGGCTGAGGGAGAAAGATCAAAAAGGGAGACACGGTTATTATTCTGTCTATGAAGACTCCAATCAGAAGGCAGAAGCTCCCCTCTGAAGCACATGTTGATCCTTTTTCTTTGTCGGGTTTTAGGTGAAAGGATGTAAGTTTCTTTAAACAAATTAGGCTGTTTACATCAAAGGCAATGCAGATAATATAAACTGTGACATAAGATTAAAATAGAAAGAATTTAAATTGGCACAATCCGTTAACAACAAGCACCTCTAAACCAACTGGGCTATTCTTGGCCACATAAACACACAAACAATGTCCTCTCTGACTGACTCGTTAAACCTTTAACCTGGACCTTTACTAGGCTGCAGCCCCGACCTTTCTACATTCCTCAGCCAAGCTGCACGGAGGCCTTTGAGTTTGGCTGAACTCAGTGCCCCCCCCTCTCACTCTCTCTCACACACACACACACACACACACACACACCCCCCACCAGGCTGGACGTCATGGTGGCAAAACCTCCTCCGTCATATTTACTCAGGGGGAGAAATACGTGAACCATTAAGCCCGAAGATGACCACGGTGCCAAGAAGACAACAAACCCGAAGAACCAGATCTGGGATGTTTACTAAAAGGAGGAGGGTCAGACAGAGGACACGGCTCACATGGCTCCAAAGTGTCCTTTTTTTTCTTCTTTCATTTTTACACAAATGAGTGTGTGGGTGTGCCGCCATACTTTAATGTTCCGAGCTAAATTTGATTTCTGCCTGTATGTTTACGAGCCAGTGACGTCAGCTTAACGAAAGAGCTAGAAACATACCACAGAAACACTTTCATTACCTCACTGTGTATGCACACTCCCTATGGGACCTTCAATTAAACGGTTTCATTTTGTGCCTCAGTTTTTATCTTTTACTTTGAAAGCTTTAGGAGCAGCACTCGCAAATATATCTCATCCTACTGGTTAAACCCCTTTTAATGGATGAACAGGCAGTCTGACGCAGGCACACGCAACATTTAGGGCTTCATTTGATCATTTCAATTACACCGTTGTTGTAAACATGCTCACTTGATGTGAGATGCTCATGAGGACTAATGAAGGTTTCAGTCCACACTGCTGTCTAACGTTCAACCCATGTGTGACAAGTGTGGTGAAACAACTACAAAATAAAAGATTATTAGTTTTGTAAATGTCAAAAGATTGACTTAAGTCCATCATCATCACCACCAAGCAAGAAAAACCTGTTTGTATGAGCTCTGGTAACCATACTACACATTTCACTATGTACGTAAAGGATTAGTATGTACTGCTGACACAAATATATCGGGTACTCGACCAGAAACAGCGCAGATTAAACACCACATCGCACACCGCACACAGGAGAAACGTGTCGAGCTTTAAAGTTCAGACTGAAATCAGCTGTTGTCAGCTGTCGTTGCCAGGAGCTGCCGACCTCCAACATGGCCGCCGGAGGGCGCGTCGGGCCGTCTGGACGGTAGCAGCAGTGAAATGTGACTCCGCCAGCAGCAGCAGGAGGAGGAAGAGGAGGAGGAGGAGGAGCAGCAGCAGGCCCCCTGGCATCATGGAGAACAATGCTTTCTACCGTTAGCACCAAGCTAGCACCTAGCTACTCGTTGGTCTCCCACTAACGGTGGAGATCTGTCCGACGTTACACTCGTGATAAGACGACATGTTTCAGTTCACCAAGCTGTTACACACCAGTAACACAAGTCAACACACACACACACACAATGTACGGCTAGAGAGCGAGGGCGCTGTGATAGCCAGCTAGTTAGCCACGCTAAGCTAACTCTAGCACACGACGCAACCATGTCTGCAGTATTTAACTACTGTATCAGAGCCGAGCCTGCCTCAGCTCCAGCCTTTAACACACACAACTACATGCTGAGAGCCGTGAGTGTTGAGGGACAGCGAGTCTTTATAAACATTATGATTTCTCGTACAGCAGCGAGGCGGCGGGGAACACGGTAACTACCACGTGGTTGATGTCCAAGTGGACGCAAATGTATCGATTTCATGTCGCTGATTTACATATTTCTGAGCTGAACGGCTGCAAACACACGTTACGGGTTGTTGCGTGCAACCCGGTCAGCAAATGTAACGACACACATTGAACTATCGTCTCATTTCCTCGTCGCCAACAGCAGCAGCAGGCAGCTAATGTCCACCAGCGTGCTCCTGCTGCCAAGACATCGCAGCGAGGCTAACAGCTAGCATGCTAAGTGAAGTCAGACTGCAATAACACACATGCACACACTACAGCCACACGAGGGAAGGTTTTTGCGCGAGCAGTTTTGTATCCACAAAAGAAATAAGGAGCCACACACCTGCAGAGACCTCCAATAACATCCTTCTCCGTCTTCTTGAACTGCTGTAAGGACGGTATCTTCTCTGTCGGCATCATGAAATATTCCATGCTTTCAAAGCCACCTTCTGTAGTCCGTGTTTTCTGTGTTTTTTCTTTTCTTTCTTCCTCCTCTGCTGTCCTTGGTAAAATACACGTTTCTAAGCACAGAGCTCTCGCTGTACACCTTAATGGCGCATATCTAAAATACCGCTTCAAAATCAGGTAATCTGAAGAATAGAGTTAGAGAAATAAAAGTAAGTTCAGGCTGTGTTGCTTCCCACAGCTGATGGGGTTCCCTCCAATGTGTGTGTGTGTGGCTTCTTGCCTCCGCCTACTACGTGTCTGTGTGTGTGTGTCTGCTGCCTCCGCCTACTACGTGTGTGTGTGTGTGTGCAGCTGATCTGTGTGAGGCGGGAAACAGCTGGTTGGAATCAGAGCCCTTTTTCCGGAGAGCAGAACAAACAGACCTGCAAGAGAGTCAGTGTGTGACTGCAATGCTGCAAATCAAGTCCTCAAGTGTAAGCAGCAGTCAACAGAAAGCCTGTGTATTAACCATCAGCCAGCATTAACAAACAGATGTGTTTGTTAATGCTGTACTGAAATTAGAGGGGCCAAAAGGCAAAGCCTGCATTATTACCTAATCTTGATTTGAGGCCCCATCATTAGGGGCCTACAGCCCATGTTTGCCCCACCAGCCCCCCCTACATTCTGGTCCATTTATTTAACAGATTACCACTGGAAATGACCCTCGTCTGTTAACCTTGTGCCATTTTAATTTTGAGTTCAAGTTAATTTATAATTTAAACTGTGAAATATGATTAAAAATAATAAAAAATATATATATATAATATAAAAGTGACAAGACAAACGCATAAAACAACCTTTTCTATTGGATAATGTAATGTAATTTAATTTCATACTAGGCACCACCACTAGTTGAATTATTCACACAACTGTATCATACACAGCAGTGCTGTAATATTTAGTCAATTAATGATTTAAATTTAATTGATTGTTAAATAATTATCAATACATAATCCATTAAAAGTATTTATAATCCAAAACTATCAATACTTTTCTGAATAAAGCACATGTAAAGTCATTGGTTTCCTGTAATTTTACATTTTATATCCGTATGAATTAAATCTCTTTGAAAAATCTGAGTGTTGGTCAAAACTAGCGATATTAAAGGACCAGTGTGTAGGATTTAGTGGCATCTAGAGGTGAAGTTGCAGATTGCAACCATTTGAATACAGCTCAGCCTTCCAAACA